AGAGAGAGAGAGAGAGAGAGAGAGAGAGAGAGAGAGAGAGAGCTTGTCTTACATTTTCTCCACAGTGTTCTGCGAGAGGGAAGTCAGTGCAAAGCGGTGTCTACAATACACTCTTGCTTATATGAAAACAACAAAGCTCATGCGTGTGCGCACATACCTCTAAAGAGGAAGCCTAGGAAGGAGCCTTGGTGCCTGACTCTGGGCAGGGTGCATGGCGTGCCATCAGAGAGTGAGAGACACTTGGCTTTTAGCTGATCCATCATACATAAACCTCTGGAATTTTGTTCCACACGCTGGTGTCATCAACTCCAGATTACATCACAACACGGGAAGCTTAGTGGGTGCTGGGTCATGTAAGGTGAGGAGAGAAACTTTGGTGAAGGAACTTAAAAGTCAACATGAATTTGACTCCACAAAAGGAACCCTTGAAAGCCCTGAGACATTTTAAAGTATGCCCAGTAAATTTGTGCTACTTTATCATGTCAGGTTCAGAGAACTCATTTTTTAAAAACCCCTTCTTCCCAGGAACCTAATTTGAAATAACCCTTTGTTTTCTAAATAAAGAACATGACCGGCCAATATTTTTCCCCAGGTTCATGTATGTGTTTTTATTATTTTGCTTTTACTGAAGTGTTTAATAGTGTATACTGTTTTTCATTTTAAAAGTTCTCATCAGAAATAGCTCTAAAAGCTATGTGTATAATCTTGTCTTCACAGTATATTATAAGATAAATGAGGGAGACTTGTAGCCTCACAAGGCCCTCAATAGGTTGCTGTCAAACTTATGCAACATTAAACTCCGAAACTGAGTTCAAAACCTAGACCATGTGGTTAAGAGGGGTAGGAAATCAGCCCCCCACACATACACACACACTGTCAGCTTTCATGGATAGACCAGACTCTTCCAGTTGGGTTCAAGGCTATTTGAAAGTTATATTCACGACAGAGATATGCTCAGTGGTGAAAGAAGGTGTGTTTCCAATAGTAGTATCTGAAAATGGCTACTTCGATAAAGTTTTGCTCAGGCTGCTAATTGTTTTTTAATAGGCAAGTTTTAGAACTTTTCAGAGGGGGCTGCCCCCCTTTATATCCCTCCTGTGGCTGCCTCCCCCATGGTTCTGAGTAATGCTAAAATGATGAGCAGATAGCAATGGTCTGGGATTCTAGACCTAGTAGATCATTAGAACTCTGGAGTGGGGTCCCTCTCACCACAGTTACTTTCAGAAGGGCTGCCATCAATGACTAAAGTGCCCATTGCTGAGTTTCAAAGTCTCCATCACCCAGACTCACGGGCTCCAGGAATGAGTGACCGAGAGCTGGTCATCATGAGATGGACTGCCCTACCCTACAGTCCAGGCACTTCCATCTAAATATAAATGGTCTAGGTCAACGTAGATCGCTTGTACTTCACTGGTGTAGAAACAGTCAGATGAGTGTGTCTTTACCTCTCCATCCGTGCCTGTTCTGATACTCTCTGTGTTTGGGGAAACTCCCTGAGGAGGATGGGATTCACCTGGGACAAAAGAGTTTGGCATTATGTCCTGCTTTCTGGATTTTATCCCCCTCTAAAGACCTGGTGCTCTTCAGGGACAGTTTGGTGACTTATACTTTAAATTTCAACAGATAATACTCCCTTAGAGGGGACAGTGTGTTAAGAAAAGCTTTAAGGTAGCCAAACTGATAACGCACACCTGTAGTCCCAGTATTTGAGAGACTGGGACAGGAGGAGTTGTGAGTTCAAGGCCAGCCCATATTACAGAATGAGTTCCAAACCAGCTCAGACTACATAGCAAGGACCCTGCCCCAACTGGAAAGAGAGAAAAAGAAAAACTCTAATGTGGTTTTCAATTTGGTTTGTCTCTTCTTTTTTTATTATTCAAAGGCATGACGGTGGCATTTGCAGGAACATATCTATTGGTGAATTTTGCTCCAAATGTGTCCCAGGCTATCTCAGCAAGAACAGTACAGTATTACTTTGTTGGCTGGCAGTTCCTGGGCTCTGGAGTAAGGGTTTTAAATTTTTTCCTGTTTCTTATGTAACA